TGAACACAAAAAACTACATGTATAAAGTACATTCTTACAGGTTCTGACTGGGCCTTGACTTACAGGGCCATCACTTGACCTTATGCTTTAGGCTCTAACCCTTAGGTCAGGGTGAATAACCTCTTTATATACATCAGCTACATCAGTCTCCTTCATGATTTCCTAGCACTTAACTTTTTTTAAGGATTTCTTTTTAGTCTAACATTCTAGATTTTTTTTTTTTTTTTAAAGGGAAAGACTCCCTTCTGTGACCACTTACTGCTAGAACCTGATGTAGCCTGCCCTCTCCATCCCCGTAAATGGCAATCATCTGGAGGTGCAGTGACAAAAAGAGTAAGATACACTTAATGGATCTTTGGTAACACTGCTTGGAAAGGGCTCACATACTGTTTATGGCAAGGAATACATATTTATTATTCTCTTCTGAACTCTAAATCAAGTAATCACTATCAATCTCGAGCCTTAAAAGCTTCCGACTTAAATTGTCTCTTATTTAACAATCACTATTTTTAGAGCAAGAGGTCTTTAGAAAAATTCTGATAACATGTTTTTCTTGGAAGGGGGGAGAAGTCAGATAAAAAACAAACTTGCTAGGATTTAAAAAATATGTAACGTCCCCTTTAACTGTTTCAGTACTGAACACAGAATCTTCTCTCTCCATATCAGGAGGCCCCACTAAAAAGCACAAACCATCATTGTATGTTCTTCTGTGCATCAAACCAAATACCAACTTTATATTGGAAAAGCAAGCTGCTGTTAAATAATACTCGTTAATCTTGTTGAGATTAGCTTGAAATGCTCCTGGATTGGGAGATCTGCCCCTTGGGTGACAAAGCCCCTTTCCTTATTTATTATTTACATGGAGAAAACCCCCAAAACTATCTCTCTGGAAAGCATTACACAGTTACAAATACTGAATAGAAAAAGAGCATAGCTATCGCTTTGACGTGATATAGACAGCAAGGTAAGATTTTTAATACGCAAACTGTGATATGTAATTTAATTCTACTTCATGAACTATTCGGAAAGCCAAGACGCTAACACGTGCATCAGGCACAGCCAACAGAAGACTTTACAATGGTTTGCGTTTCCTTTTTTATTTATTCCTTGAAACTGCCCGTATTGCAGGTTTCTCATGGGCGAAATATGGAACTGAGCAGATTCTTTTTTCTACAAAATTATGGTATAAACTTGCTCAATTTTCTATCTTATTGCTAATAAACCTTACAGGCGCACAGTTTGTAAAATAAACCCCTTAAGGACTGAATGCGTACAGCATGCTGCAAGGTACAAGAAATAAGCTAAAAATGAGCATATAAACCTACGTCTGGACCAACACAGTACTGAATGCCGGCAAACATTTATCACGACACAGGGAAAAATTAATAGGAGATACAGTTCAGTCCTGAAAGGGTTAAATAGAAACCCTAATATATTATTGTTTCTAATCATCCAGCCCACATTACAGTGCTTGAAAACAAAATCAGAAGTACCGAACACACATTTGTTCAGCACTCATTAGAAAACACAGCTGCTTTTGAAATCAAAAGTAAGTAACTTGGTTAATAATTGAATAGCATTTTGTTTAAAAAAGGAACCCCCCTCCCCCACCCCGTGGATTATCTGGTTAAACAGGACGAGTTTAGTTCTCAAAAACTGCATGGGGAATATTCTGTGAGGGCACAGATGGTACCAGTTTCATTAAAAACAAAAACAAAAACGAAAACTAACCAGTTATGATCGCAAATAAGTCTGTGCAGAAGAGGGATAAATATTTCACTAACACATATATGAGGATGCCTTTAGTTGCCACAGTTGAAGAAAAATCAGCAGCAGGTTAAATATTATACTAGTGTTCGATTCTGAAATCATTCAAAATCAAAAGGGCATTCTACATTTAAAGCCTTTAACTGCCTTCCCAATCTATGTGATCAATTCAATGGAACTAAAAAACAGACTGGATCATGGACTCAGCTTCTAGCATATTTTTAGAAATTGCATAGCTCACGAGAGCACAAGATACCCTTCTAAAACAGAATTTTAAAAAACCAGAAACAACCCAAAACTCAAATGTTTTCTAACTGAAGTGGTCACCATTCTAAGAAGAGCATCTAGCATCTCTAATAATGCCATCGGAGGAGGGGCTGTATTCTACTATAACCAGAGGACAAGGCTCCTATAAATTATACACTGAAAATGATTTACAAATCCATAAAGATTTTTTTTTTAAAGCAGCTGACAAAAGAACTACTGATAAAAAAAATAAGCTACAACAGAAATCATTTCAGTCTTTAGTTTGTGGTATGCAGAATGGCATAAAATAGCAAGGGAAATGTCTGTAGAAGTACATTCGTGGACTTTTCAAACAAACAAAAAACAAACAGGAAAAGGCTTTACAGTCTAGTATTTCAAAATTATCTTATTAAAAGAAACAAACAGCCAAAATAAGGTATAATTAAATAGTAAAAAAGCAAAGTTCATTTTAACAAAGCCATAAACTTGAAGAATTAATTTGAGCTGCAAAGCTACGTAAGGAATAGTCTGTTCTTCAAAAGTATCTCATCTGTTATCGGTTAATTTAACATAGTTTTGTATGTAACTAAACATCAAACTGGGAAGTGGAGGAAACTTGTGGCCCATTGGAAGTAAAGCGGCACTGAAAATATTTCCACGCTCCGAACCAAAAGCAGTGTAAAGATTACTTCCATGACTCAACAGAGAAGAATAAATACTACTCAGAAATAAGCAAGTTTGCAAGAAGGAGCTAGTAAACAGTTAAAACAAAGAAAGGTAAGGCCACAATTCTGCCCTTGATCACTGGATCAGATTTGAAGTGTGAGGCAGGGTCAGCTTACGAGAGAAGCTAGTGACTGGAGCAGATCTGAAGAGAAGGCTATACATATAGAATAATGCAGCCTGTGAGTAATTAAAAAGGCTTGCAGTACGATAAAACCACAATAACTCTGATTTAACCAGTAATGTGTTTTACAAGTGACTTCCTCCTTGAAAACTGAGGAAAAGGTGATTTAGAGAAGTTAGGAATTGTATTTACAATGACACAGTCTGAGCAAAAGAATGAGTGATGAAGATAACAAAGCTGGGGAAAGGGGGAAAGCTACTAATGTTTACAAAGTCTACCGATGAAGACGTTTTCAAAACAGCCCATGACACCAGAAAGACAATGTTCTGTATGGCAACACTGTGGGAAGTTAGTTTTGCATTCATAAGGTACTTGTGGCTCCTGTTTTATGGGACAGTAAAAGCTTACCACACTCTAGAGGTAGTTTTGAACTCTAGAAAGAATGATTGTAGTACTAGACTGTGTCCTAGAACATCACACACACGGTTCCTGTACTAAATGTAGCCCAGTGAGTCGGCTGCAATTTCTAAGAAACTGAACAAAGGCCTGACCAGAGTGCAGGAATGGAAGCAAGGAAAAACTGGTGAGCCTACAGCATGGAAGGGCCAACGCACAACCCGAATGCCACGAAATCTTAACTGAATGGAAAAGAAATGTCTTCTGAGTAGGAGACATCTGTGGAGACACTCAGCACTGGGGAAGAGAAGACAGAGGAGTCAGGAGAGAGATGAAAAGATTAATTGCATTTTCAGTTTTACGATCTCAACACTATCTGTTCTAAAGTACTGTCTTCCAAGCTATTTGAGTTGGTCATCTAATAAAAGCATCTTGTTTCAAGGTTACAATGATGTTTTGACCTAGGCTACCAAAAAAATAATAATAATAATAAAATAAAAAAAATAAGTAAACAAACACATGCTTTTGCTGAGATTTTCTCATTATACAATAAGGGCACCATCTACCAGCTGGTAGCAAATACTTCTCATGATATTTTTTTTTTTTTGTCCTATGCTAACAAGGCGGAAAACACCCTGCTGAAGGAGATCACTGGGAACATTCCAAGTTCAAAATAAAATGTTTAACTTACACATAATACAAGTTATGTACAAGATTAGGAGTGGGGCGGGGGACCTGAACGAATCTGGAACATGTAGATACATTTACACATGGGCAAAGGGGAGAGAACACTTCAAATACCAACATGTTCTGCACCATGAATTCATTAATGACTAAATGGCCACATTTAATTCCACGGAAATTTTAGAACCTCTTGGAATACCACTATAAATACATTTAGAACAACAACAACAAAAAAAGGAAAACAAGGAAAGAACTACCAACAGTGTCTGAGAATAGAGACTAAGTTAACATACATTGCATGTACTGCAGGCAAGGCAGAGGCATTTTTTTTAAAGCTTTTGCACAGACTTCATATAATCTTAAAAAAAAAAAAATAGGCGGGCCTTTACAAGATTTGACTTGCTGAAATCAGAACAATTTCGACTCGTGAAAAGTCATAAGACATCAGCTTTAAAAAAATAAAATAAAATAAAAAGATCAGTTCCAGCCTTAAACCAAAAAAAAAAAAAAAAAAAAAAAAAAAAAAAACAAACCTGGAAGAATATGGTAATTAGGTTAAACAAGCATGGTCAGGCTTGGAACTTGAATGTACTGTAGAGCAAAAGCTCAGACGGGGTGGGGAGGAGAGGGACCTATTTGGTAACAAAGGTGTACTATATACTGTGATATAAAAAAAGGTATGGTGAAAATGTACCTTTTGCTAAAGCTTATACAAGTTCCTTGGTCCGTAAAAACTATGTTAGATTTGTGTCTTCTAGTTTGATTAACTTTTATTCCAGCCACATCTCTATTTCTTGCCCATTTAAACAAAACCAAACAAAAACCAACCAAACAAGAGTAACAGCCGAAAACAATCGATTCCCAATAGTTTGTACATTTCGACGTTTTGTTTGTTTGTTTTACTGCGGCTTCTGCACTTCAGATCAGCACTTGTAGGTAATGGGGTTTCTGAACAGTATCACCTGGTATGAAAAGTTTTCCCAAGAAACCACAAAAGATTGTTCATTTTTTTTTCTTTCTTTCTTTTTTTTTTTTTTTTTTTTTTTTTTTTTTTTTTTGTCAACATTTTGCCGCACTCAAGTCAGTTTAAGTCCCAGCAAGAAGCCGGTAGTTAGGACACCACTGTTGCTGCAGATGATGTGACACTGGTAGAATTTGTGCTGACATTTGTGTAACTTCCCTCGCTGTTTGTGTTTGATTCATTAGGGGGCACTTGGCTTGAACTGGCTCGAAGGATTGCTCCTGCCGCACTGCAGTGTGGCCGTGGCCCTGGTTCCGGTGTGTAAGTAAAGGTAAGGCTGGTGGAATAAATGATTCCATCATTACGGACCAAAGTTACTGGAACCTGGACTGGCTGCCGGACCCATCGCCAGCCCTCCCGGAATGCAGAAATGTCTGGGACAACACAGAGCATACTCTCTCCACATCTGAGGAGGAAATATAAAGCACTTAAAAGGAAGGTAAATTTTAGAACTGGAACTTAAAACAAGGTTGCTCGATACATTACAATCAGTATTAGGAAAGAATCTCATGTACCCAACCCCATCAAAAACTCTGGATGATGTAAAAAGTTTCATTAAGTACCTGTACATAGTTTCAGCTTCTACATCCCCAAACCACACTCGTAAATTTGGAGTGAAATTCTGTCCTGTAAGTTCAAGCATTGCTACGTCCCCACCGCCATTCAACTGAAATTCACAGAAAATCAGAACAATGTTGAGAAAACTTTTCATTTTCCATTAAAGTACACATATTAGTTTTTCATTTGACTATGATTTGTGAAAAAAATGGAAAAATAAAACTCTTAAATAATATGATTATAAGGACAAAATGAGCTAAAAACATCTCAAGATAATATAGTTGACTTAAACTTAAATTTTCTTGTATAAAAAGTATGCTTTTATTTTTTTTAATCAACAAACGATGTATTAACAAAATCTCCAAATCTTATGATTAATTGTGAAATAAAATCATGCTAAGTCAGAGCAGAGAAAGCAACTGCAAAGAGCTAAAAGTCAACTTGTAAGTGGTCTCACCTGAAGACTTTCTACGACAGGCACAGGGGTGACTGGGGCAAGGACAGGGCCCATCCCCTCGTAAAATGTATACTCTGCCTTATCCGTACTAATGATTGTCCAGGAAGCTCCATCATTTATCATCTCTTTATTTGGTTCTTTTGGGCATGGAGTGGCCTGATGAAGAAAGAAATGTTTAGACGTGGAAGTTTATATACACTGCAGTATAAAGACAATTTTAACAAGGTAACATTCATAGACTGGAGTTAACAGGCAGACAATTTACTACAAATTTCTGAACTTTCCAAACATGGTGCTCTGCCAATCCCTAACTAAACACAGAGCATCAGTATGACAAGCTCACATCCAGTAGTTTTTTATACCATGAAATATTTCAGTGACATATTAAAAATAATACCTTTCAGAATACCCATTTAAGAGCACACCAGTACCTGCATAATTTCTTTAATAAAAGATAGTATTCGTGATGTAAATAGCTACTTAAAACTCTTTATGGATCCCTAAGAGAGTAAGAGCCCTTCAAGCGTCGAGAGCAGTTGAACCTAGCTATTTCCAGCAGGAGGAAACCAAGATGTGAACTGGCAACCCCCCACCCCTACCTTCAAACAGCCAGGCCAGTCCAGCAGTTCTGGGCTGAGGAGGACGGCTGTATGTGGCCATCTCTCTGAAACGGGGTCTTCAGGTGTTTACAAGTGCGTTTCACACGAAGTGTTAACCATCCCACTAAATCATCTGCCCATGTCATAGACGTCTTTGTGAAAGACTTCTAGTAAATGCAGTTAAAAATCAGCTTTCGAAACATTTCCTCATTACTCTCTAGGAAGACCTCGACGTAAATCTGATAATTATGAACCCTCCCCAGAAATGTGTGTGCATCTATATACAACATCTTCACACAGTTTCAGAGGACTCAATGAACACCCAAAATCTTTTGGATGATCTGAGAACCTTTTTTGATTCCCAGAAACAGATATTAACTGTCTCTCCAAGAACATGTTTATGGATTTGAGTTCTTCCTTGAGGTGGGATGACTGCCATATCTCAGGATCAAGTAGGTTAAGAACCTTCAGACTTGAGAAAAATACCTGAAAACGGCTTTGTGTCTTTGGGTACAATTAACATTAAACAAGAGTTTTAGGTTTCTGTATGCTGCTAACCGAATAGCTGACACATTTTTTTTTTTTTTTAAATCAGTAATTTAAGAACATACCTGAAACTGGATTATTCTTTCTTGAGAAAGGCACAAGTACATTCTTTCTGTATCCTTAAGGTAAAATGCACATTTATGGAGTTGTGACACAGGATCATCTGCATCCAGTAATGCGGTTTGCTTATCCACTTTCCTAATTATCTATAGTTCAATAATTAAGAAAGAAAAGGTCATCACATATGGAGAGCTTTCATTCTGGACACTGCCAAGGGCACACGGAAAGAATACGCTATAACAACACATCACAGTGTATATACAAAAACATTTACAAACACTAAGGCTAGGTATAAAAAATACTTTCAGATCACAAGCATGGTAGAATGTGGAAATGGTTACCTTCTTCTGGGAATACCTGAAAAACAGGGCGGGCAGATACTCGTTTTCTAGATCACTGCCTTTCAAGCTTTACTGTGCATACAAATCATCTGGGGTTTTTGTTAAAAACACATCTGTTCTAATCCCACAGATTTCACGTGGGCCTAATAGTCTGCATTTCTAACAAGCTGACAGGTGGTTAACCCTGCTGGCCAATGGACCGTATTTTATGTAGCAAGTTCAGTTGATTTTTCCAATGATATACAATCACATCAGAAGAAAATCTCTGAAGACTACTCTCCCTCCCCCCTCCCTCCCTCTCCGTGTGTGTGTGTGTGTGTGTGTGTGTGTGTGTGTGAGTGTGAATGTGTGAGTGTGAATGTGTGAGTGTGAATGTGTGTGTGTGTGTGTGTGTACATATACGTATACATATAATTAAAAACCTGGGGCACCTGGGTGGCTCATTCAGTTGAGCGTCCGACTTCGGCTCAGGTCATGACCTCACAGTTTGTGAGTTCGAGTCACGCATCAGGCTCTGTGCTGAGAGCTCAGAGCCTGGAGTCTGATTTGGATTCTGGGTCTCCCTCTTTCTCTGCCCTTCCCCCATTCACCCTCTGTCTCTCTCTTCTTTCAAAAATAAGTAAACATTAAAAAAAAAAAAAAATACCCAAACTTCTAACTTCCTCCAACTCACAGCTCAGTAAATGGCACCACTACTCACTCAAATCCAAAAACTTTGGAGTCAGCCTTGACTCCTTGTTTTCTCTTATACCTAATCATCCAAACTGTCAACAAATTCTATTAAATCTACTTTCAAATAAATGGGCCATCTCTCATCACCTTATGCTACCATCCTGAATTATGACCAAAGTCCAACCACTGTCTCTCTGTTCCCACTGCTATACCCCATGTTCTCCTCTTCACAGAGCAGCCAGAATTATCCTCCTAAGCATAAATCAGTCATCATGCCCTGGTTCAAACCTTCCAGTGGCCTCCTGGCATATGTAGGTAATATAAAGTCCATACTCTAGATACAGAGAGAGACTCTACAAGATGCCATCACATCTACAAGGCTGACCTTGTAGCCTCATTTCCCACCCCTCCCCAGTTCAGACTACAGCGCCTTCCTCACTAGTCCTCACCACTCCGGTCTGACATTCTGTCTCCACTTGTGCTGTCTGTCTGAAATGCCCTTCACAGTTTGTGGTTCCCACCTTTGTTCTGGTCTCTGTTCAAATATACCCACTTTGAAGATTTCTCCGACCACTCCAAGCACTCCCCAAGGTCTCTAGGTCTTTACCCTGTTTTAACTTACTTTCCTAACATTTGTGTTAACCTTTAATACATTAATATGGTTATTTCTTTAGCTAATGTTGTCCATCTCCCTAAAACTGCAAGCTCCATGAGGAAAGAAAGCCCATCTTGCTCACCACTGTATCCAGCATCTACACAGTGTCTGGCACATGGAAGGTTCAGGACTATTTATAGAATGAACCTGTGCACGTAGGACAGTAACACATTGCTCCACAATGAACATCCTTCACAGTAACTACTGAGTTTTATGAGGATTAAATCAATATATGTAAAGTGCTCAGAACAATACTATTGATATCATGCAATAATATTGGCTTTTATTACTTGGTTTACATCTCAATATCCAAAGATTTTTCTTTAACTAGGCTACAATTGTATAAAGTCCCCATCTTTGAAGTTAGCATTCTTCATGTTTACATTTTTTAGCTCTGCAGGTCATTTAGTCAGAATATCTTCCATTCTACTAACACCACACCCATTTTTGAGTTTAAAGGGAGACAGTACACTTTAGCAATAAGAACTTCTAAGACAGTCTTCGAGACTGACTAAATTCAAGCAAAATGTTTCAGTTTGATGCTAAAGTCTTAGGGCAATATTTAAATTTGAGGAGGTCTGGATTTTAGAGAAATAACTGAGTTTTGAATGATGTAAGCCTTCAGCACTCACTCATCCTTCTCCTCTACGTGAGAGTCATGACTCATCTGCAGTCCTGTTATTTGTGCGCTCCACGGTTTCTCCACTAACTAGTAATAAGCACATCGTGAACATGAGCCACGTTTGGTTCGATTTTATCCCCACAACAGTTCTTTGGACAGAGACCCTATTGAACGACCTCTCACCAATAAAGAAACCAAAGATGGCCACTACTATTTGGCATCAGAAACTTGCTTTGGTCATTTCTAATTATCAAGAAAAGGAAAGAAATCTGAGACACCTGGCAATGCAAATGTTACAACGTAAGCCATGTGTGTGGTGAATTCTACATTCCTAAACCATCAGGGAGAACTCCAGCCGGCGCTCTCTCCTGTGCTGGCTCTGTAGCTCGCTGGTACAATATCTACCGTATTTCTGAGATAAACTGGATACAGCCCAACACTGTGTCCCTACCCCCCACCCCCGGACCTTGAATCAGACATACTCCTAAATCCCCTCCGTCTTTAACATAACTAACTTTTCTTTCTGAAAAGGAGGGGGAATATAAAGGCGGGAGTATAAGGGGCTTTTGCGTTCATTTTGCGAAGAAAAGCAGTTTTTACAGTTTCAAAATCGTCCTAGCGAACAAAAAGTCCTAAACACCGTGCTTCTCTCTCAGAGTATGAGATAACAATTTAATTTTTAATAACTCTATCTTCTTGTTGGAGAGTAAACTAGTAAAAACTATGCTTATATTTTTAAAGAAGTAAGAATTTCTATGCTTCTGAAAACTTGGTCCTGTGGTGGGAATATCAGGTACCACAAAAAATGAATATAGTATATCTGTACTGGTTAAGGAAAGAAATCATAATGCAATTATTTAGTGCCCTCTGTTGAACATGTTCAGACATGCAACCAAGAAGCAAAACGCCACCAAAACTTATTAGAAACAGTGTAACAGAAAGTCATTAATAATGCATTCACAAAAATTGGCTGTCTGCCTTATATCGGTTTTTAAATAAGGTGGGGTGTGATTGTCAATAATCAATAGCAGTGATTATTGACACGTCTTCTTAAATTAAAAAATGAAACCGAAGCGTATTTTTACATCTGAACGTTGTGCCTTTTTGGTGTTCTTAATTTTCACCACACACAGCAGCAAGAGCAGAGCATACCAGTCTTGGGAGAGCCATGCCGGTAACCGAGCACACAAGTTTGACTGTCTGTCCATAGTGGATGTAGCCATCACGAACTGTGAATTCTTCTCCTTCTGATTCATCATCATCCACTACAGTGGAATGACAAAAGAGATCGAATTATTATCTTTTAGAGTTCTTTAATCTACTTAGGAAAATGATAAAACTTAATAGATCTGATGTCTTATTATCAAAGAATTTCAACAGCTTCACACTAAAAACATCAAATACACATTTTCATACTCACAGAGATGAATGTAAAATGCTCCCCACTGCTGAGAACTGGCATGGAAATTACCTCCTTCTACATGCAAGTATCTGGTACTAACTGTCTGGGATCGAAGTCGATTAAACAGAGCCACCTTTGTTCCTGAGGCAATGCACACTGCAAAGAAAAAACAGCTTCTATTTATGTGACTGGGGGGAAAGGACCTATACCTGGCAAGTTATAATTATTCTTTACTATTACTTAATAATTAATAGATTCTGCTAACAAATTGATACCCTAAAAAAAAAAAAAAAAAAAAAATCAAGGTAACTCTCATTAATGATGTCAGGCTAAAGATGTAAAATACGTCCATAAAATATTTTTTAAATGAGAACTATACAGTATATTTAACGCAGTGCTGTTCAGTAAAGGGACATTATTCTTAAATATCCAACAACAGGAAAGTGATTAAATACATTATAATATCATTCACCTATTAAATAATGTATATCAAAATGCACTGATTAAAAAAAAAGTATCTCCCTAGTATATCACTGAGTGGAAAAACGGGCTATAAAACCCTCTCTATACTGTGGTTCCATTATATATGTATTTATGTGGCTGTATGTGTGTGTCCACGTGCTCACATCCAATCCTATGGAATGTACTCAGGAGTCTAGAAGAATGTTTAGCAAAGTTGAGGCCAACTGCCCCTGGATATTGTGATTTTAGAGATTTTGATTTCTTCTAAATACCTTAAAGTATATAGCATTGCATGAAATTTCTTGAAAAAACAACCACATCTATGTAAGGAGGAAAATATTCTGAAAGTGAAATACGTTCTCTGTCAATAAGAAACTTACAATCAACAGAAAAAGTGAGTTTAAATAAAATCCTATAATTTGAATTGGAGATAGTGTGAATCCATGACATTAGCAAGAACACCCAACTCCCATTATGAAGTAAGCCTTGTCCTCTAGCAACAACAACAAAAACCAAAGAACAAATTTAAATCTGAGCAAGCATCTAAACGGACTACAAAGATGCTCTCCTTGACCAAACTTAAAAAAATTTTAATGTTTATTTATTTTTGAGAGAGAGAAAGAGAGAGGGAGGGAGGGGGAACATGAGCGGGGGAGGGGCAGAGAAAGGGAGACACAGAATCCAAAGCAGACTCCAAGCTCTGAGCTGTCAGCAGAGCCCGACGCGGGGCTCAAACTCACGAACTGCAAGATCATGACCTGAGCTGAAGTTGGACCCCCAACCGACTGAGCCACCCAGGCGCCCCTCTCCTTGCCCATATTTTAAAGACAGGCTCCTCTTCCCTCTTGGCCTTCCCAGCCCAGTTACTGCAAGATTCCCTAGGTCTTTCTCCCACCCTTGACATCTGATTAAGTTCCTCATGAGTATCTGATCACCAGAGAGAGGCCAGCCTTTAGCAAAAATCCTGTTAAGCTGGCTCCTCTGGAGCCCCTGTACCCTTAATGTTTCCTCTTGGTATGTTCTATCCACTGCCCCCTCCCCTCACTCTGTTCCTGGACTAACAATCCATTGAGCTCAGCTCCACACTGAAGTCTCTTCTCCCTTCTGTGACAGTACTGAATACAATCTGTCTTTACCACCTTTAACTAGTGTCTGGCTCTACTGTGTTCTCTTTGACACTACCAGTTCATAAGATACATTAAACTACACCAAGGAAATGAAATTTGCAAAATCTAGTATGTGGTAATCTCTCAGGGCCAAATGACTCAGTCTCTTCAATAAATACATTGCAAGGAGAGAGAGCCATGAAGAGGGAATCCAAAGATAAAAAGTACTCAAGGTGGGGTGTCTGGGTGGCTCAGTTGGCTGAGCATCCGACTCTTGATTTCAGCTCAGGTCAGGATCCCAGGGTCAAGGGACAGAGCCCTGCAGGCATCAGGCTCCCTGCTGAGCAAGGAGCCAGCCTATTTTCTCTCTGTCTCCCCCACTCCCTCCCTCTGCCCCACTTACTCTCTCTCTCATTCTCTAAAAACTAAATAAAATAAAAAAGAAAATAAGTAAGTAGTAGACATGTTTACTTTAAAACATACTCAAGGACATGTCAATATAATATATAGTATAAATATCTGATGGGGATTCAAAATTTGAATTCTGATTCAACCAAAGTACTAACAAAATGGCATTTTAGATAATTTTAAATTTGTTTAATTAGACATTTGATAATATGAAGAAATTATTTCTTTTTATAGTTGTTTTATAACATATTTGTTTTTATGTGATCATGGTATTTTAATTATAATAAAAAAGCGAGAGCCTCAGTCTTTCAGAGATACATGTTTACAGATGAGAGGTCTTATATTTGCATTGAACTAAAATGAGGGCAGAGGAAAGTGGGGGTGTGATACAGGTATAGATGAAATAAGACTGGCCTGCAGTTAAGATCAGTCTTGAAATTAGAGGCTGGACACAGAGCTTTCGTATAATTATGCAACTCTGTCTACTTTACTATGTTTGAAAATTTCCATAATATAAATGGTTATAATAATAATGACTGAGGGAACTAAAACCAACCAATATATAAAAACCGAGTAAGTTCATAACAAAACAAAATAAAAACAAGCAAACTAAACAAAACTCCTAAAACCTTGAGCACTTTCAAAAAATACTACTGCTATTCTGCAAATTAGTAAGCAAGTGTCTATCCTGCCTTTTCTCTGCAGACTATTATTTGAAACAAAACGCTAACAAGTTCTAAGTAAAAGAATACGAAAAAGCCCTTCATAAAACACTAGATTTAAGCAGCCATTGTCAGTGGCTAATGGTTGCTGAGGAACTCTGTACCAATGGATTAGGCTAGCAACAGCTCAACTTACAATCTTAACAGGACAAGACGTGGGTATCATCTCAGGTATCATCTCTGACTTCTGATTAGAAGGAAACAAACATATAGAGGACCAGCTAATTCTAAAATACGTCTTTAGGTCTAACCACCAGTTTATGGAAAATATGAGAGACAGAGGCACAAGTAATCAGCCAGATCCGGAATATGGAATTCCAAAGGAAAAATTACCCAGTTCCTTCAGCAAATGACATGGAAAGATTGGAGGGGGAGAGAACACACTATTGTAGGTTAAAATGTATGGGCCGTATTTGGATCCAAGTTTGAACAGGCCAACTGCTAAGACACACACACACACACACACACACACACACACACACACACACACACACACACAACTGTAAAATAACACTTCAGAGACCATGTAATAAGTCTGCACACGGATTGGTTTTTAGATGGCATTAAAGCACTACTGTCAATACTTTTAGGCACCACTACTCCAGAAATGATGGTTGAAAGAACAGGTCATCTGAGATTTCCATTAAAATATTCCAGAAGTCAGAGGAGGAAGGACCATGGAAAAAATGAAACAGAACTGGCAAAACCTGTTGAGGCCAGGGGGCTGGTCACCTTACACAAGTCTCTCCCTTTTAGGTAAGTTTGAAAATTTTCATAATAAAGAGTTAAAAAAAAAGAAAAAAAATTGGGTGCAGGGGTTGCAATGTGTAACTCAGTCAGACAGCGTTTATCTTTGGTATTTGGTAGTCTAAAAATCTGCTCATGAGGCAGCAGTCTTTGCCAGAGCAACTGTGTTAAAAATTTTGTTTAGGTTTTCAGGAAGGACTTCCACAGCCCATTTGATAACAGTGCTTCTCAAAGAGGAGCTTTTGATGTTCTTGGGGGATCAATTCTCTGTGGAATGAGAACGAGGACTTTTAGCGTCACTGTCTGATGCACCCAATGCCATCAGCACTCCTTGTGGTCACTGACAGCACAAGGAATAAATTCCCACTTCCCATATGCCTCTGGGGAACACTGCAGAAGCAACTCTGGCTGGGAACCATCTCCGTAGACCGGGCATTGTCCATTTCAATTAAAAAAAAAGATGACCATAAAATGGCAATAATACATGTGACAGTTTCAGATTAAGTGGAGGGCCACAAAACCATTACTAACAAATGAATTTGCTATCAAAAAGCAATTTTCAGTTAAAAAAAATAGTTGAATTTGTCTTATTAATCCATCAGGGGAATTGGAGACAAAAAAGAAAACTCAAGGATACGTACAGTCAGCATTCTTCAATGACTGCTTCTTTTTGGAAGGTTTGGAGATGACTTTTATCCGCTTGCTGAGGAACACACCAATATCATCACTGTTGCCATAGAACATCTTTACAGACAACATGAAGTGCTTTCTCTTGTCTGAGTCAGATATGTACAAAGTTTTGGCTGTGCAATAGTTCTGTGAAAAAAAGGGAAGTTTCAATAGCAGCAAAAGTTTGCTGGTTATGTACTTACAACTCAGTACAGCCATGGCTAGGTTTTTGATGAATGAATTAGATGAATAGCTGAAAAAACCAACTGTAACAATTACTGACATTGATCCTGGAAGACAAAGGACAGTCTTATCAAGTCTATGAAATACTACATTACGATCCATTTTATTCATTTTAAAACACAGTTTTTTTCTTATTTTATATAGCTCTATACCAACATAAAAGAATTATAAATGCTGTAACAGTAATTTTTTAAAAATAGAACTTAACAGGGCACCTGGTAGCTCAGTTAGTTAAATGTGTGACCCTTGATCCTGACTCAGGTCCTGATCTCAAGGTTAATGAGTTCGAGCCCTGCGTCAGGCTCTGTGTTGACAGAATCCTGCTTGGGGTTCTCTCTCTCCCTCTCTCTCCCTCTCTGCCCCTCCCCCACTTCTGCTCTCTCTTTCTCTCCTTCTCAGAAATAAACAAATAAACATTAAAAAAAAAACACACAGAATTTTACAGTTCAAAAAAAGCCCATGACTGTATTTCTGCAATGAAACAAAATAAATAAAGCTATCAGAATTCAACTGAATCTGTGTAAGATTTTTAGCAGTGATCCTTTTCAAAATAGTGCACAGTTTTTCTTTACATGGATGAACACTACAGAACCACCTATAAGTCTGATAAAAACAAAGTTAGAGTAACTGGAGAATTATAAAATATTTTATGCCAGGAAAGGTTAGGAGTATACTTTAAAGAACTCTTCATAAAAAATGGTAAACTTTGCCAAGTGAGATAATTCATATTATATCATCAAAAGAACTGATTGAGGGGCCCCCGTTTGGCTTAATCAATGGAGCATATGATTCTTGATCTCAGGGTTGTGAGTTCAAGTCCTACACTGGGGGTTGTGCTTACTTAAAAATTAAAAAAAATATGCAACTGGATTGAAAGGTAATAGAGAAGATAAACATAGCAAGGTATAATGCCAGTCTACCAGAAAATAAATTCTGGTACCTGAAAAGATAGCATTCAAGAGTTACAGCACTCACAAAGTAGCAGCAACTATCTCAAATATATATGACAATTCTATTATCATTCCTATTCCCCTGATCCCTATGAATTAGGGAAGGAACTATATTATTTTTTTTAAATGTTCATTTATTTTTGAGAGAGAGAAAGAGTGTGAGCAGGGGAGGGGCAGAAAGAGAGGGAGACACAAAATCCAAAGCAGGCTTCAGGCTCTGAGCTGTGAGCACAGAGCCCGACGCAGGGCTCGAACCCACAGACCGCGAGATCATGACCCGAGCCGAAGTCGGACACTTAACCAACGGAGCCACCCAGGTGCCCCTAAATTATTGATCTCCTTTTCCAGATTGGGTAAATAATGCTCAAACACAGCTTAAGTATTTAAAATATCTAAATCATATTTTTTAGAAGATCAATTCTCTACCTTGTAATTAGGCTACACAAGTTTCGTTGACTACCTCTGTTGTGTGTTTCTTTTAAAAATCAGGAAAAATGCCACTCGTTTAGGAAACAGCTAATGTACTCTAAGTTTTTAACTTTTTAAATTTTAATCATGTGTAATTTTAGCACAACAAAAAATAATGCCAGGGTTTATTTCATTTCTCATAGCAAAGTTATGTAAGACGATGTAGGTGCCACTGTGAGTATTTTACACTTCATTAGGTCTTCACAAATTCAAAAATGTGGTAAAAGCTTTGAGGAGCTTTGTTCGACAGAAGATAAAATTAAGATAAAGCTAATAACAGTAATAAGAAAAATAAAAACAACAGTTCTTCGTACTCACACAACTCCTTCTACCCAAGGATCTCCAAGCTCAGAGATGCTATGGCGGGAGTGACAGGTCTTCCATACATCAAAAAGCACTGAAGGTCAAATTAAGCCTAAACTGATGGAACTGCTCTGCGCCATAAAGTCTAGGAAAATGGGTATCGATATACTAACGCAGACGGTTACAAGGAACAAAACGAAATGTGCATCTAAAAGAAAATTCTCATAGGCAAAAGCCTTTCACACAAAGTTTTTGTCTGGAAAAAGCAAACACACATATCTCTGGGAAAAAAAGGAAAATGTATCCCTATTTTTATAAAAGTGAGTAGTCTGAATCCACAAGAAAATAATCATGGCTAGGACAACTTTTTTTTTTTTAAAGTAGTCTTCACGCCCAGCACGGAGCCCAACATGGGGCTTGAACTCACAACCCTGAGATCAAGCTGAGCTGAGGTGGAGTCAGACGTTTAAGCAACTGAGCCACCCAGATGCCCCTGGGATAACTTTATTAGAATTATTATTTTTTAAAAAACTAAGACCACTGACTACAAACTCAAATTCCATTTAAAAAAAAGGGGGGGGGGGCCTAGGTGGCTCAGTCGGTTGAGCATCCAACTTCATACTCGGTTCATGATCTTGCGGTTCATGGGTTCAAGCCCTGTATCAGGTTCTATGCTGACAGCTCAGAGCCTGGAGCCTGCTTCAGATTCTGTGTCTCCCTCTCTCTCTGTTCCTTCCCCACTCGCGTTCTGTCTCTGTCTCTCAAAAATGAATAAATGTAAAAAAAAAAAGGAAAAAGTCACCACTCAGAAAAAGTACTATTGCTTTAAGAAAATAGAAAATAAATAAAATTTAAAGTTACATTCGTCATACCAAAATGCTAGATTAGCTAACAAAATTCTAGAATAGAAAATGGCATATAATAAACCTTTCTATCAATAATGAACAATTTAACTTAAGAACTTGAAGATCTTCAGGCCATAGTAAAAAATGTGCCCCCAAATGAGAAAGCAATACCAAATACAACACTGCAAAAGTACTGTAGAAATGTCCGCATCATAGAATCTGAATTATAGAAATGAAAAAGTGCTAGCAAGTGAGGTGTAGGGGATGTAACTTTTAAGTGTAAGAAAAACACAAGTGGGCTAAGTAGGGAATCAATTCATGTTGTATAGCTTACCTAGTTCCAACTATGTAAGATGTAAAATTGAGGAAAAATGAGTATTTAACAAATAAAAACATCATTAAGTGAAATCTCAGATCCAAAATATTATCAACATAGAGTCAAATGTCATGACCATATGAAGTGCCACATAAATTAGAACTTTATTGTAATGAATATTAAGTATAAGTACCCAATAGTGCAAAATAAATAGCCTTTCTTTTCCGATAATGACTAAATTGTACCATTCAATGAGGAGGCTACTAAAAGAAAACAGTGTTACCTTAAGTGAATGGAGGTTAAGAGAGACAGGTGGGAGCAAAGGGTCCCTTTTCTGAGGTTCAGCATGTCACTACTCAGGACATCTTTGCCTTCCTAGGCTCAAATATATTACACACGCCTTTAGGCTCCAAGCACCTATGATGTTCCTGTTCCACCTGGAATGCCTTCTGCTGACTCCCGACAAGTCTTCCTTTATATAAAGTAAGTAAGACTTCTCTGATAGCATTTTTCATGAAAACTAATATTAATAGCTTTGGCTTACAGACATTATATGTTTTAAATATAACCCATTAGATGTTTTAAATCCTAGTTAGTGCTCAAGCTTTCAGGTATTCTTTTCTTCTTCTGTGAATCTTTAGGGCTTAGGGAAAGAATATAATGGTATAAGTTGAAGAAAGGTATACTAAGCCACGATGCTGATACAGGCAAGTGAGGATGCTGTTTGTTTGGTATTACTTCCCTTAAAATGCTGGAAGCTGGAATTGGTTAAAGTAGGCAAAGAAATTCAGTTAACAATTATACACCCTGGTAGCTACAATCCCTGGCTTCTCACTACCTATTTAAGTACTCATTTCATAGTACCAAGTATCTAAATGTACACCTTGGAGACCAACAACTCTGAGACTTTCTACGTAACAGGAAAATAGAGGAGACACAGCTAAGGCCCATCAGATCACCCTATCACTTAAATACATCCTTTACTCCAGTTGTAGGGTCATAATTTAGAAATATTGCTTGCTGCTGTATTTTCTTTTAAGATGAAACCACTTTTATTATAATAAGTTTTATTGCAAACTTAATTAAAAATACATAGTTGATAAGTCTTACCAATAAACATTTTAAGGATACAAATGTCATTCATAAAAATATCTGAAGAAGGTTGATATTAAGGCTTCTTAGCGCTCATGCTCCGTATTAGCTATAAAATGGCTAAAACTGAATCGAAATGTACAAATCTCCTAGCTCATCACCTTCAATGTCACTCTGCAGCCCCCATCTGTACTGCCAGCTACAACACAGCAAACACAAAGATATTCACTGAAGATTTACTGAATGAGGAAACAGCTTTTCATACGCTATTTTAAAGGATATTCACGTGGTTGTTGAGAACTAACCATTTTCCAGATTTTAATATCAAGGGAAAATAAAATAATAGTTAAATGCTAAGTCATTAAGAACTATTTTTGAATACTAAAGGTATAAAGTGAAATGATTGCTTCATAATTTCATAAAACACAATTAGCAAAACTAATACTTAAATTTCATTCCTTAGCAAATTAATCACAGAAAATCCCCTAAAAGTTTGAGTGAAGCTAATTGTGGCTGTTTTTGTCTATAGCATAGTTTTGCTTCACAGAGAAGCTACGTAAAACACTTAAGATCTTTCTAGCCCAGGTAAATCCTTCTAAGAATTTATCTGTGTCACTTTGTTTCTAGTGTAAGACTAAGATTAAGATTAAGACTAAGATTAAGAGACAGCGTAAAACATGACTGAGCTATACGCGTTCACTGTTACTTGAGTATCATGCCCCCCTGTCAGACACATGAGGGATTAGCCTCTTAAGTTTATTACTGGCTTCCAATGGCAATCTGATTCAGACTGTTAAAACTGCTAACAAGCCACCTTTAGAGGTCAACAGCTTGTGACTAGACTGCAACTATTTAAGAAGTTTCTCTCTGAGGGATGGACCAGGGAGGGTGTGTTCAGAAAATTGCTACCAAAAGCCATAAAAGAAAAAAAAAATCATCACCACAAAAATAAATAAGGAAACTGCATGCTAATAGGGTACCAGGGTGCCCTTTTAGGAGAACCAACAGAGTTTAATTTACCTTTCCTTCCAAGTTCAGCTGCTGCATTTCTTGGTCACTATTTCCTATTCCAATAAATGCACATGGTTGAGACTCTTGTTCAGAACAACCATCACGTTCCATTTGTTCTTTTTTTTTCTTCCATCCACTGCCCATAAGATACACACAAGGAGGAGGGCAAAAAAACCTAAACAATGGTAGAAACACACACACACACACACACAAATACAAAACCAAACAATGCAATTAGATTCAAGAAAGCATTACCTTTCTTTGAACGTATGAATATAAAATTATACTGAACTATACTAAGTCAAGCCTTTTGTCATGCCAATTAATCATGTCCATAGCACAGAAATCAAGGCCTCCACAAAGACTACATTTGTTTGGGGAAGATTCATCTATACTGGAATTATGCATTCAATAAGATTAGATACTTTTTATTTTTATTAGTTTTTTAATGTTCATTTATTTTTGAGAGAGAGAGAGAGAGAGAGAGAGAGAGAGCGCGCGTGGGGGAGGGGCAGAGACAGAGAGAGGGAGACACAGAATCCGAAGCAGGCTGCAGGCTCTGAGCTGTCAGCACCGAGCCCGACATAGGGCTTGAACTCATGAACCATGAGATCATGACCTGAGCCAAAGTTGGACGTTCAACCAACTGAGCCATCCAGGCACTCCAAGATTAGACAGATACTTTTTAGAGGATGGAGTCTCCCTTTAAATTTTCACACAGCTCACAGTTCTGAACTATTGGAGTTCAGTAAATCCAATGATGTCTAACAGGTTACAAAAAATAATATGCCATCGTAGAATCTGCAGTTATTAAGATCTACTCAAAATGATATACTAATTAATGACATTATTGCTATGGCTATTACACTGAATTTATTTGGTAATTAACCTGGAAAATAGAATTAGAGCAATATCCAAAGGAGGAACTTTCAAAATATTAACAAAAGTAGAAGAATTAAAAGCAAATGGGTAAGCGGATTTCTGTGTTTTATGTCTATGACACCCCGGACAAGTGGATGTCTGAGACAACAATCCACTGCACCCTTTCAACTCACAGATCACCAACAGATTTGTCTTGCTAGTTGCCAAAAACCTGCCCTCAAAAATTCTTCCCACCTAGAATAACTTCCTTATACAATTGACCCCTGAACAATGTGGGGTGAAGGGTGCCAAATCCCTGTGCAGTCAAAAATCCATGTCTAAATTTGACTCTCCCAAACTTAACTAATAGCCTATTGTTGACCAGAAAGCCTTATCATTAACATAAACAGTCAACACGTATTTTGCATGTTATATGTATTACATACTATATTCTTACAAGAAAGTAAGCTAAAGAAAATATTGCTAAGAAAATCATAAGGAAGAAAAAATACATTTATAATACTATACTGTATGAACTGAAAAAAAATCTGAACATAAGTAGACTCATGCAGATCAAACCCGTGTACTGCAAGAGTCAACTGCTATCTTTTCCTTGACAATTAAAAAATATCAGTTTCAAAGCCTAGTTCAAGCCCCACATTTTATAATTCAGACCATCAATCCAGTCCTTGTATACAGGGTAATTTGCTTTTGCTCAATAGTGACACCATGTCTCATCAAGGAGCCTGAAAACTCAAATATCTACCACAAATAGTAGCTAAGTAAACTCAAAGAGTCACCAGGTAAGTAATTTAGTGGGTGAACCAGGTGCACAATAAATAAGGAAGAATATCCTTTAATTATTCAAAGAAGTAGGTTCCCTCTTCTTTCTTGAAACACACAGCCCTCATGGTAATTCTTGCTTTTTATACAGTTATGAGTAAAGGAGCATTCTTCTTAACTCTTGTAAGCCCACTGTAAGAGAAAGAAGGGCTTAAATGCAATGACAATCAGCCACTGGTTTGTGACTCCGATGACATGGCACAACAGAGAATAGCGAGCCTGTGGCTACACACCCACTCGATCACTTTGCTGAACTACGGCCACGTGGGCCTAGTGTTGGTTACATCCTCCAATTGTTCCACAAACGTTTGAAGCCAAACTTTATATGGGATTTCTAACTTTCAAAGTTAGCAAATATTTATGCTTTTAACACCTTGGAGGCCAACAATAGCAGACTTAAAAAAAAAAATGTGCCCACATACCTATTTGTGCATATGTATGTGACACAGTGACAACACCAGGCTGGATTTGGCTTCAGCTCTTCCTAAAGGTAGTTAGTATCTACTTCTTGTTTGCTTCCCCCCCAGCCCCCAGCATCCAACTACAATATTTACTGAATTGAATCAAACTTGTATAACACCTACTTTTTGCTCAATTCTAACTAAAAACTACTTTAATTAATTTATAAGAAGTGAGCTAGGTGTATTTAATATTCATCAATTCATTAAATTATTATACCCCTAGTCTGAACCCCTAGTGTAGTGTCGCAGGCATTAGGAATATAGTAGTTAAAAAAAAAAAAAGGCAAATATTCCTGTCCTGATGGAATTCACAAACTCTAATAGGAGAGACAGCTAATTTAAAAAAAAGAAACAAAACAAAAAAACAAAAAAACACTTTACTCATAAAGTTTAGAAAACATTTTACTCATAAATGAGTAAAATGGCTTATATAAGACCAGGGTGGCCAGAGAAAGCTTCCTTTAAAAGGTGATGTTGAGTCACAACCTAAAGCCATGGGTGGCTGAGGGAAAAGCAAGTAGGAAGGACCAAAATGGTCTGTGTCAAAACAAACACAGACCACTCCAGTGTGGCTGGAGTTGAGAACAGATGAAGCCTAGATAATAGGGAAGTGGACCAAGCAGGACCTAGGGGTCAAGCTGAGTAAGGAGGGAAGCCCTGGAGGCTTTTCAGATTTATTTAAACCAGTAAAAAGGAAGCAGAGCAGCTTTCATGCCTGCATACTCTCACTGTGACCATGGACACAGAGGTCACAGCCGAGGTAGTGGGCTCAGCTCCAGGTCACTCCAAGTTTGGAGGGATGCCTGGATTAGCCGGGCTAGTTCTGGAGTTGGCTCAATTCAAGTCTACCCCCAGGATCTTTCTGGCCTCTAATGCTGGGAGCCACCCAATGCTTGCCGTGGCACAGACTCAAATACCTAGCTGGCATACTACTGGGAGGTTGAGAAGGCATCAATTTGACACTTGTCTCCCATGAGTGTTTTTTATTGAACACTGGTATTAAGATTCCTTAATAAGCTGGTATACTAGCTATAAAATTCAAAGAGCCATGCTTTAGTGGAGTATACCAGATGCGGGAGTCAAATTTCAACAAGTTTTCATAAAAGACACTTTTATTTCACATCTGAAAAACTATAAAGAAGACTAAAACTACAAGATTGGGTAGTGCTCGTTTTCTCAAGAGTACTGGGATAAAATGGCATGAAACAAGGTATAAAATTAGGTTGGCAAGCAATTCTTTATCACTTAAAACACGGACCAAGACTTTATACTGAAAGTGCTTTCCAAATCATGTAATAAGAAAAATGAAGACGAATCTTCACAAATGCCTCAGAACTAGCCTTGTTTTTTAGTCAACTCTACAACACTTCAAAGAAGTTGTGATGCAAGAAAACAGCAAATCCCATACAATCTAACCATTGAGACTATTTCTATACAATGTGCTGATTAAATCATATCTTAAATATCCCAATACTGGCACTCCCTAAGAAATAGTTAATGAATCAGGTTTGCATTTCCACAGACTTCAGTAGCAGCATAATCAAATAGAAGATAAGCATACATACAAAAAAGAGCAGATAAAAAAAAGGAAATTAAAGGGAGTGAGGATTTAAAAAAGGCTACCTAATTAGCAGAAGAAAAATTAAAATACACCTTATAATGCCATGTGCAATCAGTGATTTTTAAATTTGGACAGTTGGCCAATATGTACCAAATACTCAGTGAAAAGTCTGACCAACAAGTGGCCAGCTCACAGTTTAACAGCTGCCGTAAAAGAATATGCAATGAAACAATGTGCCTTTATTTTCTAATATTTCCCATGGCTATATCTAGCAACTATGACAAACAATGCTTTTTTTCTGCCACTTGGTGGCAATATACACACATTTACAATTTTACTCATTTCCTAGTTCAAACAATTAGTCTTTATTTTCAGAGGATGATTCAACAACTTTTTCCTCAAACCCTGAGATGAGGTCTGGAAAATACCTTACAGATTCAAAGAAGACTTTTTATTCAGCCCAATATATAAAATAGGTTAGGTTAGACCAAATCCAAACGCGTCATTTACATTATCTGACTACCTTTGCAGAATCATGATCCTTTGAGGATTATCCAATCCAAAAGCACCAAATAGAAACTTTTTGCACACCTCAGTTACCTCTATTAACACACATTCTCAGTATGACTTCAGAAGCATCATCTAATTGTCTAAATGGCTTT